CTACCCAACGTTTTGGAGGTCTGGAAGCTTTAGCAGGTTCACCACCTTTTCCTCCTTTTCACCTTTCCGCCATCTCCCCCCCTGCCCTCCCTTTTTAAGCCCATCCGTAAATTAAGCCGAACAGCTACGCGATACGTTCAACCGGTTAATTTCGACCCCTGCCGCGCTACATCCCCAAAGGTTAAAGGGTTAAAGCGCTACGTATTTGCTTAGCCGCCACGCGAGCTTACCACGGTCTGATGTAGAAGCACCAGCAGCACCAGCAGCACCACCGGCACCACTAATCTTCCAGCCAGTCTTGACCAAGTGCACCGCCGCCATCAGTCGCCTTCAGAGGGAGAGGAACGAGATGACTGGACAGACAATTCAAAAAGTATTAGTGGCTTCTGTCTCGCGAGGAAGCTACAGCAGGAATTCGTTGGGCTCGTTTTAACGAATAGATCGACACTTTGGTACGTCCGCTTGAATAGGAAGGAGGGTCAAAGATATTCATTCCAGCAATGCGTGCGACCGACCGATTTTTCAGGAGACTGCTCGATCAACGATTCCAAAGGGAATGAGCCAGGAAATACGAGTAAAACAATACCAGCTGGAGAGTGACAAATGGCAGTCTAAATCGGGACTAGGCACTACGGTTACGGGGAGGACGAGGGGGAGGCTGAAGGGGATGCCGTACATTACGAAATTCAACGAAATATAGGCTCGAGTTTGGTGGTGGCACGCCAGAGGCCTGGTGAGGCATCCAGGCATCCAGGCAGGCAGGCAGGCAGGCAGGCAGGCAGGTCGCTGCGCAGAGTTTCAATATTTGCCGGGTGCTCGCCTACGTACGCTTAGTTACCTAGCGTTACGTTGCGTTACGTTGCGTTATATTACGTTGCGCAAGTTCACTCGACGTCAGTCCTCTCAAAACTACTTAGACGTAAAGCTGAATCGTATAATTTCAAGTTTTCAGGAACATCCGCAGAGGGATGCTAAACGAGAGAGGGGAAAGGCTTAACACGTTCCTCGTTCGCTTCGCTCGATTCCGGCTGATTTCACTCGGATCGATCGAAAGACACGCGCGTGTTTTTTCAATCGATGCAAATCGACAGCATCTTTGTCATTACAAGGCTGTGCGACTCGCAGGACTCTTAACCCAAATCCCTGCGATCGGTCCTGGGAATCCTATGGCTGCTGCAAAGACTCCGGCAAATGAAGCAGGGTTAAGTCTTAGGCTGGTCCATGATTAAAGCGGATAAGAGGAGAGAGCCGTACCGTGGTTTTCGGGATAAGCCAGGCGACGTCCCGACGTCCCGACGTCCCGACGTTCCACGTTAAATTAGCAAACGAATTTAAAGCCACGATGGAAACTAAACGATTGCTGCAGGCGGACGCTTGTTGGTCACGTAGTAGGTGGCTCCTCTGGCCTCGCGGTTCCACTGGGATCCAGGACCAGCAGCACCGGAACACTATCCCCCATCGCCATCCCATTTCCATCAAGCCACCCCAGAGCACCCCCCGACTAGTGGAGGCAGATGCGCTAAATAGCCCTCAGGGAAACCAAAGCTCACCTCCGCACCCCATAGCCGGGAAACGTATCTAGAATCCTCTTACCCGTAGCCTGTACCACGCTGGCATCTCTTCCACCCGCAGGCGCACCAACCCCCATATCAAATCCCAGCTTCTCCTCTCTCTCTCTCTCTCTCTCTCTCTTTCTCTCTCAGTCGGCTGCCTAGGTTTTATAACATATCAATTATTTATCGACGCCAGTCCGTAACAATAAACCGTACGTGCCTTTTCGCATTTCGTGCGCCTCGACTGCCGCCGACTTGTCGTTTCCACGTCGCTCATTCCCCGGGAGGCAATCACGACTGCGACCACCGCGACGCCGACGCCGACGCCGACGACAACGAGTCGTGGAACCTCCTGGGCGCTTGCTTATCTTTCTTCGGGTTCGCCTAGACTCATCTCGCTTTATCATGGACATTCGTCCTGCCCTGAAGAGCCCTTGTCCATGGTTCACCTCAATTTACCCAAAGCCTCTGCAATATTTACTCCTCGGCGCATCGTGGGAACAGGATTCGCGTAAAGATGCGAAAAATCATAGGAATAGCAAGAGGTGCTCACGTTGAATCGCAATGCATAAATATAGGAGTGATTTATTATTATTTTATTTTAATGATCGGAATAAATTTTCGCTCCATCGAAGGAAGAAGTGAGAGTGAGAGGGCGAATGGGTTGCGTGTACATATATATATATATATATGCGTATGTAGTGGTCGGGGTGCGTCTGTGGAAACAAGATGACGGAGGGAAGTTTCATGAATTTGGTGGCTCGTAGGACTTCGGAAAATGGGAATGGAAGCCAAAGGAAAAATAAGAGGAGAGGTAAAGAAACTCACGTATAAATCCCAGAAAGATTATTTTTCATATCCCGGTCCCGAACCTGGACTCCCCCGAGGGGTTTCCCACCCAAGGAAAACTTGAAAAGTCGCATAATAAGTCTGCCGGGAGATCGAAATTATTGAATAATTTATCGTCGAAGTTGGTCGCCTTTGATCGCTCTCATCCCCTCCTCCCCCGCGCTCTTTCACTCCCCTTCACCTTCTCCCGCACTTTTGAGTTCTCGTCGCGATCGAGTACCCGCCTATCTGTTTCCTGGGAAAATAGCGCTGGCGTGACATACGATTTTCCAACTATCACCCGCTGCGCTGTTGCTACCTTGGCCACCTTCGCCACCTTCGCCACCTTCGCCACCTTGGCCACCTTGGCCACCTTCGCCACCTTCGCCACCTTCGCCACCTTCGCCACCTTCGCCATCTTTGCCATCTTTGCCATCTTTGCCAGTATCGCTTCTAGAACGTTCGTTTCCATCAGCACTGAGCTTCTTGAAGAGCTTCAAGTTTTCCCGAGGGGCCGATGGGAAGATCGGAGCTCGTCCTGATTGCGAATTAAGCCAGAAGTGAGCGGAAAATATAGTAAGGCGTTAAGCCGGAAGTGTCGAGGCAGGACGGAGGGGAAAGGGAAGAGACTAGGAAGAAAAGTAGGAAGAAGGCGACGAGGTTGCAGGCCGCATAATTTATGCGATCATAGATGTAATCGCGTCTGAATATTCACAACTGTGCTCGCCGCTGGCTGCCGCTAACTTTATAATTACCAAATAAATTATCCAGCCGGGAGCCGCGAGCGGCGGCCGCGGCCACCCGCGAATTTATTGAAAATTAAGCTCGATTTTATCGCGTGGAAAGTTTCCAATTTTCCGCGGTTACTTTTACGCCCTATTCTCCTCCTTTGACTCGTTGACTCGAGATACGAGACGCCGCAGACGCCTCCCGTCTCCCGTCTCCCGTCTCTCGTCTCGCATCTCCCGGTGACACCCATCGAATCTCTGTGTTTAGAAATCCCAGGGCCATCTCGGAGGCTTCGCATTATCTCCCCCCCCCCCCCCCCCCCCCCCCC